TACAACATTAAATGTATTGCAATATATACTTTATCAAAAACTAATAAAGAGAATACAAGACACTTATTTATAAATATTTCTCAAGACTATTCAAAGAACATTAAATGATCAGTTTATGTTATCAAAAACCTAAATATTGCAGAAACACACATCACATCTCTGAATAAAACGAATGAATAATAAATGTAAATTTATTGCTGAAAAGAAATATTTATATAAATTGCCTGTATCAACTTTTGCGAGGTTCACACTTACATACACTTATTACACAATGGTAATATTCTGTTACACCTATTTATTAATAGATAACGAGAATATGATATGGAAAAAATAGCCGTTCGAGGATATTTTTATTTACTTGTTTGGAAGCTTTTAATTATGTAGGCATGTTTGTGAATTCCGAGGATATATCCAGGCTTAAATCCAATGATTTTAAAGAGGGCGTACTAATTACGCTGCCTACTATTTTATAGATATATAGAAAATATAAAACCCTATTGTAGTCACGCACTACTGTGTTTGGGAGAAGGTTCTTGAGGAAATCGGTTTTTCAGACATGTAACGTAAATATACATATCGAACAGATATCAAAACTGTGTTTCGAACTTGTATAATTTGTCATACTGAAAGTTATATAAATTACCTCAATAATTCACACTTAGAGTATATGAGAGCTTGAGAGCTCTGTCAATGAAGTTGTTAGGGATTCAAATTCATCCTTAGCTCTAAGTACGACTTGCGTATATCAAATTCAAAAAGTTTCTGGACCTACGTAAACTACGTGGTTACTATAAACCATGAATAACTTTTCTTCTTTATCTTTTAACATTCACAGACACCAGAGTGTCTGAGTGTGAAATAATTCCTTAAAGCTTTAATCTTTATAAAACCGCCGAATAATTATCGAAGATTCGAAATCTATTCAATTCCTAAACGGCAGTTATCACGAACAAAAGACGTCTGGGAATCATTAATTAATTTTTGTTCAATCGTAAGTGAAATTGAGCTTTATGACAATGAAATAGAGTCTATTATTCAATTTGTTTTGGAACAATGTCGCGGTTTGAAAGCAATTAGACTGATGGTTATGCTTTTATTATTCCCTTTTTTTCAGTCAAATAGAGATGTAGATTAGTTTTATATTCGATATATTAGATATGGTATTATTTACCAAATTAAAAAAAAGGGTGCGTGTACTTATGTACGCGCGTAAGAAGTTATACTTCTTTGGTTTTCCTTATTTTTTTAAAATATTAAATAATTAATAACAAATATTTAACGTTAATAATTTAATAAGATTTAGTATATTATTCAATTATTAATTAATATTAATAATAATTATTATTATTATTTATTATTTTATTATATTATTCATTCAATTTAATAACTACGTATGTTTCATAACCTTTTAACTAAGTAACAATAGGTCTTTGTGGAAAAGCATTGCTAAATTTCTTTGAAAAAATAATTAAAACTCCTTTATTTGTTTAAAAGGTAAATGTCATTATGTTCATTCAAAATTCTTGGCATAGCTGCTAACTTCACGCATATTCTATTTCTTTTTACGTGTAGACTGTCTTATTCCCATCTCGCTCGCGCACGCTATAATCACACTGACAACTTTGTGTCTCAGGTGCGCGCGCATCGTAAAATTTCACTCTCATCAATTTTTCATAACGCGCCTAAAGAAGTATAACTTCAAAAATAAATAAACTTAAATAATAATAATTGTTCTCCTTCCGGTAAATTCGTTGCTATTCATTACTAATAATTATCACATTATATATTCAAACATTATATTTAAGGGGTCTATTATTGAACGTCACAAGTTTCAAGAGCCGTTAGACCATTTTTTCTATTTGTAGTTACACATATTTCCCAATGCTCAATTCGAAACGGTGTATATATACGTATATACAGGGCGTCCCAAGGCTATAATATATATTTATTTATTATTTATTAATAGCCGACGACGACGTTTGAAAAATAGCTATATTATCATTCCATAGATAGCATTGGTTATTCGCAAATAACCCACCCACTTAATAAAATACTTAAAAAACTTCATCGTCTAACAAGATGGAGGTCCAGCTCATAATAGTCCGAGAACAGCAGAGTAAGAGTATAAGCAATAATACTTACTTTTCAAAATAAAATAAAGTCTTCGTTCAACAAAATATCCTATCTACGATATTTAAGGTACTTTGATGTTGTATAGTATTGGGACGCACTGTATATAAACACAGTTTATGATTGAGCATTGGGAAATATGTGTAACTACAAATAGGAAAAATGGTCTAACGGCTCTTGAAACTTGTGACGTTCAATATTAGGTCCCTTAAATATAATTGAGAATTATTATTGTTGAAGTTTATTTATTTTTTAATTTAGTAATTTGGGAAATCGTTAGTTGTAGCTTATATTCGATAGAAATATACATAAGAATATGAAAATTGATAATTTTAGTAGCCATATCCAACCTATAATAAAAAAGTTATCTTTGAACTAGAATGATAATAAAGCCCGTTTATTTCCAATATTTACGAAGAATTTGGTAATAATGTTGAGTTTAAAAAGCCTCCTCTAGCTTTTTCCAAATATCTCTCTTTCCAAATATGGCTTTCTTTCTCCATTCGCTTCCTGCTAACGCTTCTATATTTTCTTCTATCCACCTTTTTTTTAGGGCCTCTTCCCCTCTTCTCCTTCTTTCCCTTGATCCTTTCCATCTTACTAACTATAAACAAACATTCTATAGAAAACAAATGCAAATAAATTAAAAACATAACTAATATATTCATTTAAATACTTTTTCACTAACAATCAAACAAATCATACTTCGTTTCTCACACCCCATTTTACCCTGACTATCAAATCAAGATTGATAAATAATTAAATGTATTGCAATATATACTTTATCACAAGCCAATAAGACAAGACACTTTCTGTAAAAGTTTTACATTTTTGTATAGATCAAAAATAGTAATAATAATAATAGCCTTTTAATTCAGATACCATTACACGTAAATACGTTTCTATTTCAATCTTTTTTTAGGTATCTGTGTGGTATTTTTTGGCTAAGTCTTCCTCCAAATCCCGCCATTCCTCTCTGCACTTTGCCACTCTCAGCCATGTACCTGCTGTATATTTAATTTGGTCTAACCACCTTCTAAGTTGTCTTCCTCTTTGTCGTTTGCTGTACCTTGGGCACTAGTTTAGTACTTTTTTGCTCCACTTTTCTATTCCTCTTGCCCTGTGCCCTGTCCATTACCACTTTAGATTATTTATTTTTATTGTAACATGTGTTACATTAGTTATAAATACCCGCTAATAAAGACTGTTGAATCCGAAATTCGAATAGTCGAGTAGTCTTGAAGCAGTTTTTAGTATCATTTGTAGCCTTCTTGTATCGAACAACTGTAATCCAAATTCGACCTACTCGTAGATCAATTGGCAGTGTTGTGTTGTTAATTTAATGTTTATCAATTTTATTTTCAAGATGCAGACATAGATACACGAATATATACCCTTTTTTTAATCACCAATAAGACTAATATGGACGATGTAACAAATAGTAATAAACACATATATAAGAAATGAAGAGAGTTCAGAATGTAAAATAATATCCACAAATTCACAGTTAATAATTTAATAATGTTGGTAATTACACTTATGAACGTCAAAGTATTAAAAATCAGATCTAAATTAATATTTACTTTTCTAAATCAAAGGCGTCGAGTGGGCGAAAAGAACTGGTAAGAAACAGTCCACCATTCTTTACAATCGCAAATTTTTTCCAAGTAAATGTAATGAACTCCGACTATTACGCCATGCTTCACATGACATATATATGAATTGAAAATTCACTCTAAAAAAATGCTGCCGTTTCCGAGAACCTCAAAAAATAGTTTAGTTTAGTACAATTGTGCTTAAAGCTTAAAACATACATTTTTAGTATTATTATATTTAAATTCTATATCTATATTGTCTTTGTAAAATGGAAAGCGCAATATAAAAGTTGTCATATACATAGCTATACACCAGAGACTTTATTTTATAAACAAAATTATACAAAGTACTTCAAGTATAAAATACATCAAAAAGCCGATGTACAAAGTAAGAGTACTATCAAAGTCATTCATCCAAAAAACCTTAAATCAAATAATGTTTTAAAATGTATGATAACGTCAAACTGTTTACCAGTATAAGCTTTTAACATAAACAATATTAGCCTTGATGACGCGAAGTTTTTTAGATTACACACATGGATTTAGCTGTAATGCTATTTCTAAGCTAATTCAATATTTACTAATACACTTTTACTTTCTAACATCCTTGTATAACATTGAACAAGATATGATAAAAGTAACAGAGACGAATTTAAAGGAAATAATGTTCAACATTAAGTTAAGGAAATTTGGAATGTGCTGTAAAGGTCATACCAAAAGTTGTTAAAAGAAATGGGTGTGTTTATAATATATAAATAATCCGGGTTACCGACACCATTTATGTAAGTTATTTAATACCTCTGACGGCTACATAGTCGGAGAATTATCTAGAAAACATTTAAAAAAAACATCCTTGTATATTAAATAAGTTTTATAGTTCTTGGTTTCTCTATGCATACAACAACTTTGAAAGAATATAACTCTATAATTGGCATCCTAACAATTGTAATAACCCATCCATCATACCCTATGCTATTGTAGCGCTGTTGTCACGTACTTGGATTAATGTGGTACGAAACCTAATATTTAAATCGGATTGGGATGCTATTGAATAAACAAGACAATACTAACAACATTTTCGATTAATATCAGTTAGCTAACGTATCAGCTTATAGTTTTTAACCAAAAACCCGAAGGTGGCTTCGGCGTGTAAATCTTAAAAATAATAATTGCCCTAACGTTATATTTTATCTTCTAGACCGCCACAAACCTGTACCATCTAACCGTAAAGTGAACAAGTTGACAACGTTGGCGGAGGACGAATGTGTCGTCGCCATGATGGGGCTACCACGAGCCGGCGAGATAACCAGAGCTCAGCTTAGAATTAAAGAAAGCAAGGAGTTCAAGGTATGTAGTATAAGCTGCTGAAACTTCTGGTTCAAAACTTACTTTTGGGTAGAATAGTACAATTATCGATGACGTAACATCATGCTAGGTTAACGCACGTTTACCAGAGGGTACAGATTCTTTTCACAGAATTTAACATATGCACTTGTATGATAAATGATATTATGTTCTCGTACTAGTACAATTGATACAATGTGCCAAGCGTGGAAAAGCTCAGGCTGAGACTGTACGGAGCTTTCGGTCGTAGTGCGAATGATGATGCAATGCTTTAAGATAAGCTTAGTAAGACTGAGTGAGGTCTGTAAAGAGATTCTATTTTTAGAGCATAACATAGTTAGGTAAGAAGATGAAATATTTGGTATTACTGTTTGGAAATTAATTAATAAATGTTACTTATAATAACGTTAAACAATAATGTACAATGTTGTAAAAGTCAATTTAATTCTATACTGGACGGAATATTACGGGAATGATGCGGGAATGAATCAGATTGTATACTTAATTTCTTTAGATGTTCAGTCACTGGATGGATTTCAGATCCTTGCTTACAATAGTTTTGGGTTGATTGGCAAACTACTAGTACTAGTACTTTAAAATGTCTAAGTCTGAGCACCTTTATAAAAAGTACTTATCTGTTTATTGTCATGACAGCGTAAACACAGACAGAGATAAATGTGTAGTTTCGGTTAAAGCAGTGCCTTCAACTGAATTACTTTCTATGAAATATTCACAAATATGTTCAATAACGTAAAAGTAATCAAATTAAATATCTGAATACAATCATAAAAGAGTTCTGTTATATATGGTTGCATAAAACAATAACCCTGTCATCCTCCAAGGTCCCATCTATCTCCTGAAGCGTAATAACCAAAACCATTTATAATATCACGTTCGGGATAATATTCATTCAGTATTTTCGACATATTTATTTTTGTTTGTTCGTGTTCAATTTTATTAAGGTAAGTCGAACGCTTAATATAAATTAGTTGCGCTACAACCTTTTAGGTCTGGGCCTCAGACTTTTGTATCTGTTTCATGATCATTTGTTAATCTAATAGACAAGTAGGTGATCAGGCTCCAGTGCCTGACACGCGCCGTCGACCTTTTGGTTCTAAGACAAGTTGGATTCCTCACGATGTTTTCCTTCACCGTTCGAGCGAATGTAAAATGCGCACATAGAAAAGTCCGTCGGTGCACAGCCGAGGATCGAACCTACGACCTCAGGCATGAGAGTCGCATGCTAAAGCCTATAAGCTCACACTGCTCGCTTAATATACCTACATGAGCCAAAACTTTTACATAATATCTCAAAAAAAGAATCAATTCACATTTGTCTTAGTTGTTCTCTCTTGGCAGCTAACTTTTCAGTTTTTTAGCAAAGATAATTTAATTTAAATATTGCTTTAGTTTATTAAGTCATCTGATAAAATGAAAAGCAAAATTATTATTTGGCAGGAATCGAGTTTAGAACCTCTACTTATACACCATGTCAATGTATCATGCCATGTCAAGGCGTCCCCCATTGTCCTCCATTTTCCTTATTGTTTACCAATCTCGTCCAGTCCGTCTTAGCCTTTTCATGATTTCTTCGGCCCACCTTTTAAATTGCCTACCTCTGTTTATTTTATGACCTCTGGGTTGCCATAGTGTTATAATTGGGGTCCATTTATCTGTTCCTCTTATGGTATACCCAGCCCATTTCCATTTTAGTTGTTTTGTTTTATATGTAACGTCAGCAAACCTTGTTTATCTCTTAAATTCTTGTTACCGTGGTTAATAACTAAGAAATAATACATCTTTTTCACAGAATACAGTGGACAAACTTGTCCAAAGGGCAAATGCCTCAATCATTATAGGGACTTCTTCCTGGAAGGAACAGTTCACAGAAGCCTTGACGGCCAGCTCAGGTAATCCTAAGGCAGAAATTAGATACTAAAATTCTATATATTGTGGCATATTATAGAATTCATAATAAAATAGTTGCATTCCATTATATTGCTTGAATTTTTCATCATGTGTTTTTAAAAATAATATACGTTGTTCCTATTGTCGAAAAGGTTTATTGTGTATATGTGTATTGTTTTAATTACGATTTTTTCCTCTTATATAACCTCATTATTTTTATATTAATTTTATATGAGAAAATGTAAACTTCCCAAATATTTATTTTTTATAATTCACATCAGAACCCACCATTTTTTATCAATATAAAATATATTAGTTACGCTATCCTTGGACTTAGCCATAATCTGTGTCTGTTTCTTCATCAGGTTCGTTATTAGGCAAGAAGATGATCAGCCTTTCATCTGCAGAGTGACCCATGTCATCGATTTTTGTGTTTAAACTATGCCGATTTCCTCACGATGTTTCCCTTCACGAGCAAGTGTTAAATGCGCCAGAAAGCCACTACAATTTTAATCTATATATTAATAACAATAATACATTTGTTTTAATATTTCAACGTTTTTCAGATAATCCAGATGAGCCGCCGTCATGTTTAGACTATGTAATGCACATATTAACGATATTCTGGAAGATTATTTTCGCATTCGTACCACCCACTGGTAATTATAACTCTTAGCTATACAACTGAGTTCTTTATTTATAAATCACTTATCTGTATTCTAAAATAGCTGTCCTCCAGTACGTAATTAAATAAAACGTCTTGAGGAAAACATGAATATTTTACTATAATAATACAGTGTTTATATTTAAATTCATGTCGGTATAGGACAAATTAAGGTGCGTAAATGCGTAGCAAAAATTATCAATTCATAAAAATAATTAAAGAAACTTACGAAAGTCTATATATAAATCGCGTGTTACGAATAGAATCACGATAAAATATATTTTGAGCTTTGACAAATATTTCAAAGCGAAGAATTATTTGACGGGTGCTAAGGGCCTTCATTTGGTGTCAAGATTTAGTCCGGCGTACAGCGCAGGCTATATGACGTACGTGTTGCAAAATATCGCAATTTTGCCATAATTCAATGCAACAATATAAAGCAATTATTGTTTTATTACTAGCTAACCCAGCAAGCGTTCTGCCATATAAATAATTATTTCTACAGAATATTTTTGTAGTACTAATATCGCTGAACAATGTGGTAGGAGGGTGAAAATTATGAATTATCTATGTATTTTTGAATACCAAATAAAAAATATTCAGATTGCCCACCCTTAACGTTTTTCACGTTTTAAGTATAAAATTCTAAATCGAAGAGATAAATAAAATTACTTCATTTGACTCAAAAACATTACATTTGTACTTACATTTAAAAGATTGTCACAAGGCTACGAATCGTTGAGATACAATATTCATTGTGGTTAACTTTATACATAATATACTTCAAACTTTAATCTAGGCCTAGCCTGTATCTTAAACGCTAGTTCCTTCCAGTGTCATTAAGAAATTGGTTAAGTTGTTTGTCATTAGATGTTTATTCATTTTTATATTTTATTAAACTAAATTGAGGTAGAATCTATATTTAAAGTTGTTACAATTAGACCGTAGTAAGTGTGAACTTCGACAAGGATTTTTAAGTTTTGTGGATGTGAAACTAGGATACGAGATTTGAATTTAGTGTCGTTATTTAGGTAAGTTCGGAGACTAATATTTATGGATAAGGTTTCTATTTAAATTAAATTTTGAACAATATTACGGACTAAAGTTAGAAATTTTAAATAGCCTAATTTTATTATTTTATATTAACAAACAAGTTGTCTATTTCATTATATTTTTGAGTTTTGAGCCATTCTTCTAGTTTTATTTTACATTCATAGACATTAAGGGGATAAATATTCAGGATTTTATTCAGCTTATTGTACAACATGGGGCCTGTGTAACATTTGAATTTGGTTATACACAGGAGACCCATTACATTATCATATAATAATAAGCTTATAACCAATAAAAAGTTGGTGAGTGGTACAGGACTATTCTGTAATGCCGAATTAGAATTACGTTGTAAGATTTTGCGCGCTCTATCGCGCTCGAAAAGCCTACACTACCTAATACTCTAATTGTTTACAGATATCGGTGGTGGCTACGTCTGTTTTGTCGTGTCCATAGTGTGTATTGGCCTGGTAACTGCTGTAATTGGCGATGTGGCTTCACACTTTGGCTGCACACTGGGCATCAAAGACTCCGTTACTGCGATATTATTTGTTGCTCTCGGGACTAGTATACCTGGTAAGTTAATTTTTATTTAAATCGGGTAAACAGAATATATGTATTTATTTAATTTTATTAATAATATATAAAAATAAACAATTAATTTTAAAATATAGCCAAAGATGGAAAATATAATATTTACAAAGAGGGTCTAACATTTACAAAAGGGCAAAAAAAATATTTAATAGTTTTAACTATGTATTATCGAATTTGGCTGTGTTGTGTGACGGAAAAGTACATACTTTGTACGTGTTTAACCATATTCCGCTTAAACAAGTCAAAGCTTAAATGAAGGTGTAACATGAAACAAAGCACGAGTACGAGTCTTGTAGGCAGAGGAACATGGAGGGCCTCTGATTTTTGTAGAAACGAACTGCAATTAATTTTATTTGAGATGACGTCATCATTTGTAGTAGCAATAATAGTAATATTCTAATGGATATGTAAATTTGTAATCTGTAAATAAATATATTCTAAACTGATTCGGGACTGCACTAGTTTGCCTAAGGAAAGATAAATCAAATAAAAAACATTTATATATACTAATGAACGTCAGTATTAAAAAAAAAGGTTCTAAATTAATATTACTAGTTCTCAAATCAAGGGCTTAAAGCGGCCGAGAAGACTTGGCAAGAAGGTCTCTGCTACTGTTTTGGACTTGTTGAATTAATTTATCTAACTATTAAGAACAAAAAATGTTAAATATAAATGAAGTTTATTTTCAAATGTATTGAAAGTGTAATAAACATTATAATAATTTATTGTGTTACAAGCTGACCCGGCAAACGTTGTTTTGCCATTATTATTTCTAGGAAACATTTTTTTAGTTCAATAAAATTAACTATCTACTATAATAAAAAAGGGGTTGATCGTAGAGGGGTGAAAATTAGGGGTGGTATGTAGTTTTGTATATTGTATCATACAAAAATAAAAACAAACAATTTTGTATAAAAAATATAAAAAAAATATTTGGAGTTGACACCCCTTATCACTTAAGGGTTTGAAGTATAGCAGCCGATTCTCAGACTTACTGAATATGCATAAAAAGTTTCATAAGAATCGGTCGAGCCGTTTCGGAGGAGTTTTTTATATATTAGATTATAGCAAAAATAACTATCCGTAAGTCGTAAAATTCGATTAAATATTCAAAACTCCTTGTAAACTTGCAATACCTTATCGAAAAATTTGACCTGATGTTTACGGTTATGAGACCCCATTTATATTTCGACTAATGTGGGAAGGCTTTTAGGCCGGCTACCAAAAGGCTTCAATAGCCCTTTAGAGGCACTTTTGAGGGGCATGTGAGACCAAAACAGCAGTAGAGTATAATTTCTTGATGTTTTTTTTTTATGTCAATTTATCATATTTTGCCTTGAATAAGTTAGTTTAAGGTTTAATTAAAATGAATTATTTTATTAGTAATCATAACAAGCAAATATACAGTATTTACAAGTTTTTAAACTACATAGTAATAATAAAGATTTATAAAAAAAAATTGAAAAGTTTGTTCCCTGTGTACTTTTAACGCTGGCAGCATTTCCTCGCAGTATTGCGAGATAATGCTGCGATTCGTTGAGCGAGGAAAGCACCAGCATTGGCGTCACTGGTACTTTCTACCAGGCGCCAACTCAAATCTTTAATCAGCGCCTGTGCACTTGAACCCAGGTCCAAAGGGAACAAAATCGAAGATGGAGGAAAGACTCGTATATTTGAGCCGTTTATTATTTGCCGCCCGAAGCCGTTTATTTTAAGCATAATAATAATATTATGGTTCAAATTCAAAAATCATTTAATCATATAGGTACACATTGTACACTTATGACTTGTCGGTAAAGAAATACATATTAATGCTTCTAATTTTACATTTATTATAATTAAAATTAAACTGATTGTATTTAAAGTACTACGCTACCTCTACATAAGAAATGGTTACCCATACTTTAAATTCACCAAAACAGAACACAGCCGAATTAGGTATTACTTAGTTAAATGTTTTTAAAAAAATATTTATTTTTGCTTTTGTACACGTTTGAACCGTTTTGTATGTAATATGTTATTCTATTGTGGCTATATGTTGAGTATAATTATTTTTTGGTTGAATATAAGTTATGTTAGCTGTACGAAATAAATAAATAAAAACAACATTTACACTTAACATAAAAGTAAAATCTTTAAATTTAAAATTAATATTATTTTTGTGTTTAAAGACCTGTGCCTTATATTTACAGTTTATTATAAATTTTAGATACATTCGCAAGTAAAGTGGCGGCTATACAGGATAAGCACGCAGATGCGTCAGTGGGAAATGTGACTGGTTCAAACGCAGTGAACGTCTTCCTTGGCATCGGCGTAGCATGGACCCTGGCCGCCGTGGTGCATTGGACACGGAACGAGAAATTCCACGTGGATCCGGGAAAGTAAGAGATTATAATAAATTTTTATTTATTTAAAAAAAGTGCTTGCGTACAAAGTACACGTCAGAAGTGAAACTTCTTTGGCAAACTAATTTTTAAGTCTTGTTCATATTTATACAAATCTAAAACTTTAGATTTCCGAGACTTAGATGGAGGGAAAAAGGAAGATATGTTAGGAATTTATTGAATTTAATTGTCATCAAAATTGTCGAAAATTAATACAAATTATAAATGTAATTTTTTAAATTTATTTCTTCACTTTTCGAACTCACACAGCGGTTTTCGCATCGGCAGTTGCTCTCAAATCAGTCGTGAAGCAGTCATTTTATGATTTGGCATTCTGAAAAGGTGGGAGCTTGTAGTTTATTGTTTATTAGAATGCCAAATCATAAAATGACTGCTTCACGACTGATTTGAGAGCAACCGCCGATGCGAAAACCGCTGTGTGAGTTCGAAAAGTGAGTTACAGAATCGCAGGGCTGATACGTCGATATATGTTTAAAGTCTATCATAATATACACTCGCGAGCAAACAAATCGACTCAAGCGCTACCTCTGCATTCAAAGATTGTTTTAAGTGAAAGTATACAAAATTTTAATAAAAATGATATGTCATTTGAAAGCTTACAACTTCAGCTTTTTTGAGATGACATCATTATTAATATCCATGTACCTTTTTTTATTATTGGTGTCTGAACTTAAATTTGTGAAAAATTGGATTTTGGGTAAAGGAGTTGTGTGTTCAGAATTGACAAACAAAACACGTTTTTTTTTCTTAAAGAATATAACATTTATTGGTTCACTATTTGGTATTGCCCCCCCTAGCCCTAATAACAGTCCGTATTCGGTTATTCATCGACCTTATTAATTTTTTGACGGTGTCTTTAGGAATACCTTCCCACTCCTCTAACAAAGCTGCCTTCAATTCTTCAAAGCTCGAATGGGCTGGTATTCTTGCTCGTACCCTTTGTTTGAGCTCATCCCATAAATACTCGACGGTATTTATGTCTGGACAGAGCGCAGGCCAGTCCATTGTGCGCAAATCGACTTCTCGAAGAAACTGCTGAGTAACGCGCGCTGTGTGGCATCGAGCATTGTCATGCATTAGGATGAAGTATTCGTCAACAAATCCAGCGTAGGGCACAACATGTTCCTGGAGAATGTTTGTGATGTACCGATCAGCTATCAGTCCTGCTCTTCGGCCTACTCCAGGCACGAAAGCGAGCTGGGTTTTACCCTCCAACGAGATACCAGCCCACATCATGCAAGAACCGCCACCATAGGCAACGATTTCTGCGAATCAACATTGGGAAAATCGCTGTCCCGGACGCCTGTAGACCCGGCCTCTCCTGTCACTGCCATGCAGACACATCCTGCACTCGTCAGTGAATAGTATCGACCGCCATTGCCTAATGCTCCAGTTAAGATGCTCTCAAGCAAACTGTAGCCGAGCTTGCTTGCAGCTATACCTCGAACACGTCATAGCTCGCCCTGCACGTCGACACCCGTAAGGTCGGCACCTTACGGGTGATTTCGCAGGGAGGTTGAGACAATGATACGGTCGTCTTGTTCAGAAGTACAACGGTGGCGGCTGATTGTTGGTCTCCGAGTGAATGCTCCAGTCTCTTGTCTATCGTCTGTATACTCGGGATACAGCAGACTGACTTAAGTGAAGCTGGGAAGCGACTACTCGCTGACTGAGTCCTTGTTACAATAAGGCAAAAACTTGAGCGGCTTCCTGAGGTGTGGTATTCTCTGGTATTCTTTCTGGAGGTGTGGTTGAAAACAATGAATGCAGTTGCGGAGATGTGTATCGGTCGACTGTTGATAAGCGACTTATAAGGGTTGAAGGGTAACGGGGGTTTTAGAGCGGTAGACGGTAGCGCAATTGGCTGGTAGCGTAGTGAGTAATTTGTCCCATACGCCCTAATTGCTTAAATTAACATGTTGGTAGTTGTTTTATTTAATCGTGTTGATGATTTTTTAAAGCTTAGGTTTCAAACTTTCAAATGACATATTATATTTATTTAAATGTTGTATACTTTTATTTAGAACAATCTTTGAATGCAGTGGTAGCGCTTGAGTCGATTTGTTTGCTCGCGAGTGTAGTTACGAACGTATGCCTAATAGTTAAGGTATATTACTTAAGATGTCATGTGGAACATGGTGTAATAGTTGCAGCTCCTTACAAACGTTGTGTAAAACAAAAAACTTGGCGATTAAAAAGAGTGGCGGAGAGTTTATTGCCAGTTCTTCCGTTCTTAGCCCTTGATTTGAGAACTGGCAGTAAATGTAAAATTAGAAGCATTTAATGTATATTTCTTTTTTGACGTTCATAAGTGTACATTGTGTTACCTATATGAATTAATGAGTTTTGACATTGATACAAGAGATACTATGTTAAACAATATTTTTTAAATCATTATAATCAAGTGTGTAAGATTTCTTAGACATCATTTTTTTTCAGCCTTGCCTTCAGCGTGACGATGTTCTGTTCTGAAGCGGCACTGGTGGTGATAGTTCTCATGCTGCGTAGGCGAAAGTCAGTGGGTGGTGAGCTGGGCGGACCGCGCGGTGTCAAAATAATCACATCTATGTTCTTCTTTTCTTTATGGTTAACTTACCTCACTTTATCTAGCTTAGAGGCCTATGGCGTTATTAAGGGATTCTAAAATACGACAATCATAAATACTTGTAATACGTCAAAATCACTGACGAGTAAAATGTCATATTCTGGCCAATCAGATTGCGTATCGCGCGCGACGATGAAATTGGCCAATCACGAGACGCCAAATTAATAAGTATTAAAATGTATTGGATTGAACTTAATTATAAACTATTAGTTAAAAGTCTAATTAATTTGTTTGTCAAGTTTCTTGCTGGACCGATAAAAACTATTTGGTAAGATAATAGTTCGTTTTGTTTAAGAAACTTTATTATTATAAATGAAGCGATACACTAGTTACCATAGCAACGTTATTTACAAGTATGCGCGCGTAGTCATTAATTTTATTAATATTTTGTATAATTATTGAGATTTTTTTACAATTAATTTCAATCCAATAATTAGAAAGTTTAAAGTGGTGGTTGTCCAGTCATTAGGTAGTCATTTATAAAATAATTTATTTAGATTAAACGCTTTAATATGCATATTTATTTCGTAGTTAGGAGTATAAAATTTATAATTTTGTTACTAATATTTATTGTTTTTATAGAAAAATTTTATACAGTCATTACTATATGTTACGAATAACGAATTGATTTGACATCCAATCAAAATCATTTTTTTTAATAAACATTTTAATTTTTTATAAACATCATAAATATTTTCTTCTGGCCTCCAATGTTGGCAGCATAATAACAGTTTCGGTTGATGGATCTATGAGTTAGATGAACTAACTGACTGGGTCAAATATTTGTAAAAAAAAAACTTGTTGCGCGCACCGGGAACGCTTCAATTGGGAATTGGTATTGTATATGTTTATGAATACCGTTTTTGTGGTTACGCGAGATACACGACACAATGTTCGTTCCCATACTCCTCCGAAACGGCTCGACCGATTCTTATGAAATTTTTTATGCATATTCAGTAAGTCCTAGAATCTGCTACTATCTTTCAAACCCCTAAATGATAAGGGTTGTCCACACCAACATTTTTATTTTTATTTTTTAGACAATTTTTTGTTTTATTTTATTATCATACAAAAACACACATAACCCTTAATTTTCATCTACCCGCTACGATCAACCCCTATTTTTTATTTGTTAGTTAAGAACTTTAACTCTTGAGGTTTAAATAGGAAAAATAACAGAAAAACATCTCTGCGGTAGCATAGCAAAATGTTCCATGGTGGTATGCACTAAAAATAGACTAGGCATTACGGAGAAACGAAGTTCGCGAGGGCAGCTATAGTATCTTATAAATATTTGACTCCAGTTTTAGTATACAGCCCTGCGATTCTGTAACTCACTTTTCGAACTCACACAGCGGTTTTCGCATCGGCGGTCGCTCTGAAATCAGTCGTGAAGCAGTCATTTTATGATTTGGCATTCTGAAAAGGTGGGAGCTTGTAGTTTATTTATTATCAGAATGAAAACCGCTGTGTGAGTTCGAAAAGTGAGTTACAGAATCGCAGGGTAGCTCATAGTATTTAAAATAATTTGTTATTCATAAATATATAAACAGAGAAGTAGTTAGTTCCTTTTTCGTAAACTGGACGGGTGTGAGTTTAAACATAAGATACACTAGTTGAATATGTAGTTCTTTGCAAATTGAGGTATGTGCTCAAAATATGTACAGGTAGCGTGTCCCTTCTTCCTTAGAATGTGCTTTTGTCATTTTTATGTATTGGAATGGCAACACATAGCTGATTTTAATGCACCTTAAAAATCTAATATTTGTTACAAATTATCCAACAATAGTCGTGTCAGACTCAACATGCGAGTCTAAGGTCGTGTGATTGAAGTTCAAAAGTAAACAAATTATTTTTTATGTGTGCAATACACTAGCTCCTACAATGATTGAACTTTAAGACATCGGAAAGTTTACGCAAAATTTACTGGGTAAATTAAATATATGGATGAGACGGGTGATGACTTATAGGCGATAAAGATGTAGAAATTTGGATATAGCAGTACTTTTAGCAAAAATATGCGATTGGGATTAGGATATTATCAAAACCAAAGAATAACGTGACTTTAAAATGTTTAATTGTTGGATAATTTTTGTAATGGTATGTATTACGACTAAAAACATTTTATTTCGATACGATACGAAATTTTACGTAAACATATTTTCACCTGGTTCATTTCATAGAACCACAAAATCCTTAAAATAATATATAACATCCTTAAAAATTTTAAAAGGCCGTATTCAAACCTGCTTCGTACTCAGGGCCTTGCCCTTAATATTAGCTAGGCCTCTTGCACCTTTGCTCATAAAAATGCAATAAATAGCTATGTAAATTCGTCATTCCAATCAGCGTGGCATGCTTAAAAGCCTTGAGGGCTGTGGTTAAAGGTCTAATTAGATAATTAATAGAGAAAATATCTGTATAGAGATTTGTGTCGTAGTAATTGCGCGATTACATAGAATATTAAATAAGTCACTCTCTTGAGGCGAGAGGATTTCAGATCTAGTGGTAGCCATGACGTGTGTAGGTTTATTTAATATGGGCCTCTGATTTTAACATGTGTTTATTTTTATTATATATATTATTAAAACGTGTGTTCAGTGCCATAGTGAGCTGCGAATTTGTGGTTTCTATAATTAGCTTAAAGCTGCACTTTTAAATTGCGCAAGAGTTTTGTGAGACTAGTACAGTCCCATAGCAATTTTGAGTCAAATGTGAGTATTCTTCATAAGAGTGATAATGTCTTTAATTTCGTATGTAAAATTACTAAAAAAAACAAAGATCTATATATGCTTTTTATTTAATGTCTCGCATTTACCAATAAATTTTATAAATTTGATGATTTCAGCTATATAGGCTTTTTGATAAGGTAGTAAAGTGTACCCAGATTGTTCCCCCGTGTACACTTTTAAACAACGTTAGAGCACATCACTTGCTAACCGTGATGTTGTCATTCGGGACGTGCAATGTTTTCAAAAGTGCGTGAATGCACTTTTGAAAACATGCAACCTCTGGGGGTATGGTAACGACAAACAATGGTTTATTTTGTTTGATTTTGATTTGTCTACTGCATCTCTAGTGTAACATCGCTCTTGTATAACTGAAATATGGTTTCGTTTTTCGTTTATACTTACATATACAAGGAAAGGAAACCGGCTTGCCTTAGACCCAAAAAGTAGACGGGGTGTGTCAAGCACAGGAGTCTGATCACCTACTTGCCTATTAGATTGACAAATGATCATGAAACAGATACAGAAATCTGAGGCCCAGACCTATAAAGTTTGTAGCACCATTAATTTTTTTTGTACATACAAACTCTACAATATACTATAGTAAAACTAGACTCTTCAATCATAAATTTCAATTATAATTTCAATATACTTAGTTATTTTAATATAATGAGACTACAAAATCGCTAAGCTCCTTAATTAACAAAGTCTAATTTACGAGAGCGCTGTCATTTTATGAAGCATTAAGACACTTCTCTGTAATGTAGATATCACCGCTAGATATTTATATCTATGTATATGTAATACACGAATAATATGTTAATTTAAAATAATTTTATTTGGACACGATGAACAGCGAAAACGTATATTTTTTATCTTTTTGTTTCGTGTAGTATTTATTAAATCAATACATCGCATTAGGTTCTGACTCTCTTCAATTGCTTAGATTTATCCCAGTTGTTATAAAATGCGGTCTATGATAGAGTTTGTAACATTGGTTAACGATTCTTATATGAAAAAGAACGATATTCTATCTATAGTCCATGTTTTATAATAAGGTACGTAAAACACAATTCTAAATAATATAATATATCCCTGAATAGTAAGTATATTCCACTCTTTTTAAAAATATTACAACTTAATGTACGTTTATAATTAAAAATGTATTAATTTTCGATTTATTGAACTTTATATTACAATATTTATTTATATTAAATTTACAACGAACAATTTTAACAAGTTTTTGGGAGGTATTAGCTTTTCTAACTTTGTCATTTACGAGTTTGGACCAAGTTCGTTTCGAATTTATTTAACTTAGAAACTTTTTACATTTTCGCGTTTTAAGATTTAGTCTTTGAAATTGTAATTTTCATTTCATCTAAAATTTTGGTTATATTTTGTTATATACGCTATTGCCAAACAAGCTATAGATATTTAAAAAGGGTGCGTGTATTTATGTACGCGCGTAAGAAGTTATACTTCTTTGGCATTATTAAGAATAGTTTTTGATTGCATGCAAATAATTAATTACAATTAAATAATCAAAGACTGGAAAAGGAGTCAGTATAGTCAATAAAGTTCAGTTTACATTTGAAAAATTAAATAAATAAATATTTATTATTATTCTCTTACATTAAGTGTAACATAAATTCTATTATTATTCGAATGTTGTTTTTAAATTATGTCCAATGCCGTAGCATCTTCCGTGGGCAACTTCATTCTGTTAATTATGTGTCACGGTGCGCGCGCATCGTAAAATTTCACTCTCATCAATTTTCATAACGCGCCTAAAGAAGTATAACTTCAAAAAACATCAGTTTAGGGAAACACATTATTCAATTAATATAAAACAAAGCTTGCTAAGCTTCACGGTCTTTAATGGAAGGAATGAAAGTTGTCGTTGAAGCCAAAATTGACAAATATTCGTTAAAGGTTCCCACGCCATTGAAAGCTGTCATGCATATATAGGTTATACAATATAGGTTTTTACCTAACGGCGATTAATCGAGGTATTGCTCGGCTTAAAATATAGTGTGTTAGAACTTATACAAAATTATAAAAGTAAAAAAGATGCGGAAATGTACCAGCGCGTTAGGGAGGAAAGTATAAAAATGGCTTCTTTTGTCTTTTTCTCCACAGAATATGTAATGTCAAGTTTGTGAGTAAGTATACCGGATACATACGTTTGTATGATTATAAGATACAAAGAAAGTGATTTAGATTGTATTTTATAGATAAAAATCAGTAAGAATCTTACAACAAAAACAATACGTATACGTAACAATACCATTAAAACATTTGTGATATAGT